ATGCTATCTGTTGGATTTTGTGTAAAGAGACTGGCTGTTTTTTTTCGTGTTGCTCGTCACAAAGTCTTTACACGACAAAATAAGTTCGTTAGGTTAGCAACAAAACCACTTACTTTGGTTTTGTTCGGGCTCCTTATATCAGTGTAAAGCTGCAGCCAGCTGTTATGAAATCACAAGGTATTTTCTGTTTTCACCATGTTGCTGTTGGCAGCGTTCTCCGAGGTGAGAACAGCTGAGGTTTGTTGTTCCTGCTCGCTGTGCGTTTGCTGTTCTCCAGCCGATGAGTTTCCTCCAGCCATCCTGCATTTCAGAGTCAGGAAAGAGGAGGAAGACGAGGAGGGGGGTGTGCACTTTGGGAGAGGGACAGCTGAACAAACAGAGGGAACAGAGAGAGAGAGAGCGAGAAAGAGAAAGAGAGGAACAGGAGGGGGGAGAAAACCCTGAGTTTTTCCCTGAGTGTGCCACGTAATTTGAGCAAACCCATTAATCTCGGGCCACCGGCTCTTCGGGCCTCGTGGGTGTTGAGTTTCGGTGACAGATGAAAAGAAATGAGCTGGCTCGGCTGGAATCTGAGGGCAACCTCACGCCGAAGATGAACCGGCCCGAGAGGGAGGGAGAGGGGGCGGAGGTCTGGATCTGGTTTAGATTGGCCGTCCGATTGGCTGGCAGACATCAAAAGGAGCAGCAGACCGAAGTTTTAACCCCATCTGAGAGGTTTTGTTCAAAGGAATGTGATGGCGAAAACTGAGTGGAAGTCAGTCTTCTTTCTCTTTTCAATAAAGAACAATAACACTCAAATTAATCCTCTGAACCCCGAGGACATTTTGGGCAACCTCATGGACCCCTTCAAGGGCCCCTCGTTGTTCCTGAATCTGAGTTTATGAAACAGATTTAACTACACCTTAAGCTACAAGTTTGACTTTTTTCCTGAGATTTCAACTGCATCTCATGGTCTTCATCGTGCTCCACAAAAAAAGTGGATTTCCAAGGTCGAAAATGTACTCTCGTCAGCGATAAAGTGACTAAAAGAAGGAAAAAACCTGTTGCTAACCTGACCCGCCAGATGGTCTGTAACACAGAACCATCTGAGAAGTCATCATTAGAAACTGTCTGGAAAAAGGTCAGGCACATCTGAAAAAAAAATACTTTGCAGGTGATTGGATGAAGCATCTGTAAAATCAAACTTTTACCAAAGCGAGTTGAGAAAAGAACGAGAAAAGCCCTCAGTGCCGTTCGTTGCTCTTCTTTCAATGAAGAAATACTCTCCAGTTCTGATATAACTGGTACTGTTGCAGCATCTACCCTAACCTCTTCAGGCGCTGCCATTGTTGTTTACAACTCAGTCGTGTAGCGGCGCACACCCAGACCTAAGCCACGCCCCCAAAATATGCCAGTAGCTCCTCACAGGACGCTGATTGGTCCGTGCTCTGGCTTATTGAACTCAAACGCATCACTTGAAGCCCGACGAGATGGATTTTACGTGCAATACGTGATCCCGGGATTCTTAGCGTGACATTGCGAGAATCCCGCTGCCGTGCAAGGTGAGTCTGATTGGGGAACATTAGAATTAGAATCTTGTTTTTTTATTTTAGCTAGTTCCTCATTTTTTAAAATCGTATTTAGCTTATTTAAGTTCTTGTACAGCAGTTTGTGTTTAGACAATTATTGATAAACGTATTGTTTTAGTATCGGTACCAAAAAGGTATAAACATGTCAGCGCTGGTGTCATTTGGCCCTAAAATCCCAAATCGTTCCAAATTAATGTATTTTTGTTTGCTCTCGCTCCATGAAGAAGTACCAAACTGTAATTATATTCTGCTTCATTCAGTTGCCGCCTCAGATCTGCAGCAGCAGTTCAGTCAGAGGCTGGAGCTCAACGTGGTCTTTCAGTTGATCAGAGAACAGGAAGTAGGAACAGTTTAAATTCACTAGAGGCTCATTAGACGAAGTGTATACATACGAATAGTGTGCCCAAATGCATGTTTGAGGGTTTGCCCTGCTCTTGTACCTCCTTTGTTACATTTCATACTTTTATTTTATCAGATCTCAGAGAGAAGTAGTGTACTTTATCAACTGTAGTTTAGTGACTGTGCAGAAAACATGCCAGGAGACGTTTGTGCACCTGTTGCAATAAAAAAGCAAGAGTGCATTCTTGAAAAGTATTTAAAGTTTTGATACTCAAAGCACCTTTTACTCTGGCAAATCCCTATATATCCCTATATACCTAATATATCAATATAACTTAACCTACATTACATAATCCAACTCTAATAGATTATAACTGCTAATCTGTTAGTCTGTTGACCTGGACTGATTTAATCTCAAGAGACCAAAACACGGGATACAAAATGTTATTTTAGACGTTTGCGGGCTGCTTTTAATATTTATACACACACACACACACACACACACACACACAGCAGTTTGACATATCTTCTTTAAGGCTGCAACTTAAATTGATTATTTTGATGTATCTGCCTGTAATTGAATAAAAGTGATTGTTTGATCTGTAAAATGTTAGAAAATGGTGAAAACGGCCAATGTGACATCTTCAAAGTTCTTGTTTTTCCAACCAACAGTCCAAACCCTGAAGATATTTAATTTGTAACGATATAAAACAGAGGAAATCCTCACAATTTAGCAGCTGAAGCCGAAGAATAGATGTTTTTTCTTAATATCTGACGAGAAATGGTAAAAATATGTTTATGTTTCCATGGCTAAAGGTTTCAACCATTCTCAAAAACACCCAGTCTGTTGCCTTCACTGTCTCTAATGAGCCAATAAAACATGAGTATAGATAAGAGTATAAAAATACTCCAGCGTCAGATTGTGCTGCTCATGCAAATGTGTCAAGTTTGAGAAAAGTTTGAGAAAATGTGTCAGCCTCAGGTTTAAAACCTGAACCTGCCAGTAAAGCAAGTCTGTGGAGGGGAAGCAGCCGGAGAGACAGGAAAGGGTTAACGTTTTCTCCTCGCTGCTCTGAATGGCGGCTGAAAGCGACGGGGCCCCGGCCTAAACACACACAGGCCCCCATTCATCCGCTCGCTGTGTGATCAACCTTGAACAGTGGAAGGCGTGTTATTGCAGCAGCGAGGGGGAGGAGACAGAAGAAGAAGAAGAAGAAGGGGGGAGGACTGGGGGACGGTGACTCAGGAATTCCACCGCGGAGCACGTGACCTCTGAGCAAGGCATTTATGTCCTCCCTCTACTCTTGAGGCAGGGGCCCCTCCATGCCCCTCCTCCCTCCTCGTGTTATTTTTCTCCCTGAAGTCAAAACCGGCCAAACGTGACGCAGAGAGAATATCCACAAGTGAGCGAATCACATTATGTAAAATATTCACTGAAAAATAACGGAAGAAACAAAAATAAACATTTGTTGTTGGAGAGACAAAATGACAAAATAAACAAGATTCAAGCCTCGTCCAAATCCCATCGGACAGGAGCCATTTTGTCACATGAAGCCTGTTTGGATTTCGTTCCCCGGGGGCCAAAAACAGAGCCCAGAGGTGCCTCCGTCATCCCGACAGAGCGAGTTATGTGGAAAAACCGGTGACGAGCCGCTCGCTCGGCTCCCATCGTTAACAGTCCCGGCGGGGCCCACCACTCATGACCTCACGTCTCACGTACACTTTCACCGAAATCAGGGCGTGGGATCCGTCAACAACGGCCCTCCGATTTGTTCTTTTCAAAACTAAAAGACGAGCTTGATTCTGCGCCACGAGGGAGCGTTAGTCAGCAACATGAGGGAAAAAAAACATCTAGATCCAAACATGTCAACATTGTAGAGACATATTGTCAGGGCATGCGAAGCGTCATTTTGACACCACGGATGCATCAACAAACGCATCTCTGGGGGGGGCGTCGCTTTGAAGCATCGCGTTTCCACGGCAGGCTATTTTTAGGCCCTCGTTATCTCCCAACACTCGCAGGACACGAGGCCCGGCAGCGAGCGACCTCAGCCCGCCTACGTGTGACTTACTGTACAAAACGTTTATGCAACACACTTCTACCACCGGCCTCCACCACCCCTCCTCCTCCCTCCATCTCTCCTCGACTTTTCTTCCACCCACTCCTCCCTGAGAGCCGGTTTGTGCCTGTTGGAAGGTATTGCATCATGGCTGAATCACAATCAGGCTGTGACTCTCCAACCAACTCCTGGCTCGCCGATTATGGAAAATAAGCAAACCACAGAGACACTAGAGGTATTATTACAAGGTCTGAAACTGTATTTGGCAAGTTGTTTTTTTTCTTAAACAAGTGCATACATGTACAGCTAGAAGCATTTTTTTCTTTGTTTTTTTTATTATTTTTTTGCCAAGTGCTCAGATTAGTCACATTCTATGTTTGACAGGACTGTCTCCAGAACTAAAATACACCAACAGATTGAAAAGAAACAAGTGTGATGAGGGGGGGGGGGGGGGTGTTATGAAGAGTACATACCTTTTATCTTCAAAAATATAGAAACACAATGTATTGAAAAAGAAGAATCAAAAAAAATTATACAGCCATGTTTACGAAGTATATACTTCCCTTGTGTCCAATATGTACATGTCCATCAGTCTCTCTGGGGGCTTGCTGGATGATTTATATTGGG